CCGTGACACACAGAGACGGCTCACCAACACCACCCATGACACACGGAGATGGCTCACCAACACCAGCCGTGACACACGGAGACGGCTCACCAACACCAGCCGTGACACACGGAGACGGCTCACCAACACCAGCCGTGACACACGGAGACGGCTCACCAACAGCAGCCGTGACACACGGAGACGGCTCACCAACACCAGCCGTGACACTTGGAGACGGCTCCCCAACAGCAGCCGTGACACATGGATACGATGGAAAACCTCAGAGTGAGGTGGTGAAGACGTGAACGACACTGAGTCTCTCAGAAGAATAATTCTGATTCTTTCCTCTTGGTAAGGATTTCAGTTGAGGACTCAAAGCCCCCAGGGATGCTCCTGGTAGAGAAGGATATTTACGTGGTAACATTTGCAGGCGTCTTCAAACTACGGCCCGCAGACCACATGCGGCCCACCAAGGACATGTGTCCGGCCCACCAGGTGTTTTTGCTGCTGCTGCCTGTCCTGCTTAGCAGCGTACTCGTCCTGGGGCCCGCAGTCCAGCCCTCCACGGGTCTGAGGGACAGTGAACTGGCCCCCTATTTAAAAAGTTTGAGGACCCCGGTTAGAGTCTGTACTTTACAAAGTGCCCCTGTACACAGGGTTCGCTTGATTCTTAAAGACAGGGATGGGATGTCTTCAGACAGGAATTACTAACCTCATGTTACAGTTGTTGAGGAGAAAACCGAGAAAGATTTGAGAGCCACTCACCCAGGAAGCAGGTCCCGAGCTTGGGATTCTGTGTTTTGATCAACACTGTTTCCTGTTTCCAGCAATTCAGTGTGAGAAGCACAGTGGCCCCGGCTCCACATAAGCCTGACTTAGAAGGGAATTCTATGTCACTGAAGCTGCAAAATGACAACATTCAACTTAACTCTATAAAATGGCAATGCAGACGGTGAAGTAAACGTGGGGCCCGTGGAAAATTTAAGTATAGCTGGAAGGATCTCTGCACCACATAGCGAGAACGCCGACATCCAAGATGACTGACAACTATCGGAGGGCTTCCTTTCACACTGAATTACACAAAACAGTGCACTTAATTAATTTTGTCCCATTTCCTAGGGAAACACTAAAACCAATAAATTATCTAAATTATCTCAGAAAATTAAGACAAAACTACCATCTAAAGGGAAAGAACAGCTAAAATCATCTTGAAAAGAATGAAGTTGGAGAAATAAAACTTCTAGATTTTAAAGTATGTTACAAAGCTATAAGGAAGACAGTATTGTGTCTACTAACCTAAGGACGGCACAAAAACATGTACACGAATGTTCACAGCAGCATTATTCGTAAGAGCCAAAAGGAAAGGCAACCCGAGTGTCCATCAACTGATGAGTGCAGAGACAAAGTGTGAGCTAGCCACACCACGGACTATGTTCATGTGCTGGTTCAGGCTGTGACATGGAAATCCTTGAAATCCTCACACTAAGTGAAAGAAGCCAGACATAAAAAGCTATAAATGGTATGATACCCTTTATCACATACATGAGCCATCCAGCTTTGGCAAATCCATATGGCCAGAAAATAGATTTGTGTTTGCAAGAACATAGATGGCCCTGAAGGATATTATACTTAGTGAAATAAGCCAGACACATAAAGAGAAATATCCCATAATCTCACTATTATGTGGAAACTAAAATAACTTAATTCAACTCACAATGGACAATAGATCTAAACCTAAGGCATGAAACTATAAAAATGCTGAAATAACTCTTATAGACATTGTCCTAGGCAAAGAATTTATGAAGAAAATGCCAAAAACAATCACAACAACAACTAATATAAATAAATGGGACTTGATCAGATTAAAAATTGTTTGCACAGCTAAGGAAACAATTAGTAGACAACCTACAGAAAGGGAGAAAGTATTTGCATGCTATATATCTGATAGAGGGCTGATAACCAGAATTTACAAAGAGCTCAAGCAAATTGGCAAGCAAAAAACAATCAAACAACCCCATTAAAAAATGGGCAAAACACATGAACAGAAGCTTTTCAAAAGACGAAAGACTAAGGGCCAACAAACATAGGAAAAAATGCTCAACATCTCTAATCATTAGGGAAATGCAAATCAAAACCATACTGAGGTATCACCTGACTCCAGTGAAAATGGCTTTTATCAAAAAGTCCCCAAACAACAAGTGCTGCTGTGGATGTGGAGGGAAGGAACACTTGTCGACACACTGTTGGTGGGACTGCAGACTAGGACAGCCCCTGTGGAAAGGAGTATGGAGATTCCTCAAGGAACTAAAAGTAGACCTGCCCTGTGATCCAGGAATCCCACTACTGGATCAAAACAAGACATTTTATAAACACACACCTGCACCTAAATGTTCATAGCAGCACAATTCACAATTGCAAAGATGTGCAAACAACCCAGTGCCTATCAATATGTGAGCAGATTAATAAAATGTGGTACATGTATACCATGGAGTACTACTCAGCCATAAAAGAAATGGTGGACTAATGCCTCTTGTATTAACCTGGATGGAACTGGAGACTATTCTAAGTCAGTGGTTCTCAACCTTCCTAATGCCGTGACCCTTTAATACAGTTCCTCATGTTGTGGGGACCCCCAACCATGAAATTATTTTTGTTGCTACTCCATAACTGTAATTTTGCTACTGTTATGAATTGTAATGTAAATATCTGATATGCAGGATGGTCTTAGGCGACCCCAAGGTGACCCACAGGTTGAGAACCGCTGTTCTAAGTGAAGTATCACAAGAATGAAAAAACACATTCCACATGTGCTCACTATTAACCTGGAACCTATCAATCAACAATTATGTACACATATAGAAATAACACTCATCAAGAATCGAGTAGGTGGGGGCGTTGTAACTCACACCTAACGGGTAGAGTGCACACACTATCTGGGTGATGGGCACACTTGTAACTGTAACTCAAACTGCACAAAAGCAATGTGTACACCAAAACATTCGTACGCCCATTATATTCCAAAATGAAAAATACACATAAAATAACTAAACTCATAAAAGGAGAAGAGGGTAGAGTGGTGGTCACCAGGTTGGGCTGGGGTGGGGCGATGTTAGAGTTCAAAGCTTCTTAAACAGGAGCAGTAAGTTCTGGAGACCTGCTGTGGAGTGTGGTGACTGTGTAGACAATACTGCATCATATACTTGAAAATTACTAATAGGGATTTCAAATGTTCTCACCACGAGGAAACAAGAAGTATGCTAGCTAGCTTGGTTTAATCACTCCACCATATTTACACAAATCAAAACGTCACACTGCAAACCATAAATCATCATTTTTTCATTTGTCACCTAAAAGAAATTCTGGCTCTGGAGTAAAAGAGATCCAGGTTGAAATCCAAGCTTCCTCATTTACGGTTAATCATGACTGAACCAGGTACTTAACTGTTCTACAGACAGTACTACTCATCTGAGCATGTCAAGAATTAAATGAGACAACGTCTGTGAGGCACTTAGCGTTGTGCTAACCACCCAGTAGGCATTCGATAAATGTTAGCTGTTATTATTATTAAACTTAATAAAATGTACTCATGGTACTTATTTTTATGTGTAATAATTCCTACCACGTAGGCTTCTCATGAGGATTAGATGAAATAATGTAAGAAATGTATTTTTGTCAGCTATTATTTTATTCAAGTTAAATATCATGAATCAAGGAATATTATCACATTCCTTTTCCAGATGATAAAATACTATTTCAGTAAGCAGAAATTCTTCGCCCAAACATTTATGACTATAGACTGGACACGATGATTATGGGGTTTAGTTAAAATCAGTGCAAACTAAATTATCACCTGACAATCTTGGTGACTACTCAATCTGAATTACACAGTTACTTGGAGATTCAATAAAACAAGCAAATGATGTGTTAGATACATCAGGCAATCGAGGGGAAATGTTTGAGTCTGCGCTGGGATTTATTAGTGAATAACCTTTGACAAGTTACTTAACCTCTATCTTAATTTTATTATCTGGAAAAAGAATGTGATGATGACAAGCAGAATCCTGAGGTGCTTGTGAGAATAAATCAGAGCATCCCTGAAATGTCCTCAGCACCAGGCCTGGAAGGACCACGTTCTTAATGAATACTGGCTACTACTTTTATTCCATCATAGCTTTCTATGAAGTAGCTGCCCTGAAGTGTGAAAGCCAGATGTATCACAACCTTCAGGGTAGAGCCGTCCAATCAGCAAAAGCAATAATAATAAACATGGAGGGAAAACCCAAAGATGGTTTCCGTCTGAGATGCACGTTCTCAGGTACACGCAGACTGGCTCTGTTGTGCTTTGCTTTAAAGTACTCAGTGGCTATCTTGTATTTTACAGATTAAAGGTTTGTGGCAATTGATAATTCTCGTATTTCAAACTTTTTCATTATTTTCATTACTTTTTTATCTGTCTTGGTGATCTGTGAGCAGTAACCTTTGATGTTATCACCATAGTTGGCGGAGATAACACGAACCAGTCCCACATAAGACACAGAACTTCATCCACACATGCTGTGTTCTTCTGCCCGGTCCATCAACCAGCCATTCCCGTCTCTCTCCCCTCAAGACACAAGAATATTAAAATTAGACCAAACAATAACCTTCCAATGGCCTTTAAGTGTTCAAGTGAAAAGACGACTCTCATTTGACACTGAAACCTGGCGATGGTTAAGCTTTCTCAGTGAGGC